CCACGACTGCACTTGCCATCACAGTTGGCTAATTTATTGTCATTTTTTACAGAAACAGGGTGTCCCTGTGTTGCCCAGGCTGGTCTTGAACTCCTGGGCTCAAGCAATCCTCTCACCTCAGCCTCACAAAGTGCTAGGAATACATATATGAGCCAGCACGCCCAGCCCTCATTCGATACTTCATTTCTATATAATCCCATGGACTAAGGCATCCACACAGCCTGAAAAAAACCAGGAAAGTGAGTCGTCTTGCACTTTCTCTTCAGAAATTCTGTGATAAGCTAAAAGCTGCTGTGGTATCCGCAAAAGAATAACACCTTAAAGCAAGCAAACCAACAGGTCTTCTGAGCAGTATTGCAAAACAATCCTTGCTATCCTTTAGCCCAAAATATTTTAGTAGTGAAAAGCAGCAAATAGTGGGTATCTGCCATCCTCTAAAGAACATGAAGCTTGTTGAAAGCCACTGACTTCCAGGCCCTCTGGTTGGGGCATGCGTCTGGAAGCATTCATCCCTCTGAAGGGTTTTGATTAAATGAAGCAAAGGAGGCTGTTAGTAACTCTCTGAGCTGTCTGAGCAGTTGTGACTGTCATTTAGGCCTAGTAATTCGTTATTATATCATTTGGAGACAGCGGAGCTGAGGATGGTGTTTCACGCTTTCAGGGAAGTGGATTGGAAGTGCGCAGCCCCAATTGTTGGCCACGTAGAGGCTTTGTGAGCCGGGGTGAATCTCTGAGGTTCTTTCTCAATCTACGTGGTAATTATGGCTGTCTAGTTCTTAACTGCAAGTAACAGTAACTAAGCCTGGATAACTTGAAGGAAAAAAAAGATACGGGGTTGTTCCCAGAATTAAGAGAAAAGCCCAGTGACCAGGTCGTGAGAATGCAAGTGACCCTGTGGAATGAAAGACTGACCTCCTGGCAGGGGGTGGGTTGAGGGCCTGAGGGTAAATTCAGCCAAATGTACCTGACCCTGCAGGTCAGGCCCCAAATCCTGGGAGACAGCCCCAGCTCAACCACGGGAGTGCACTTCCCCCACGCCCAGTCGGGGACAGTCAAGGAATTGTGACCAATGCTCATTAAAGCTGATTGTCATCGGGAGGAGTGACTCTCAGGGGACGTCCAGGTGCCATTCCCACAGGAGAAGAGGACGCAAACTGGGTTTCAATAGCCACAGATGTCCATGCTATGGATGGTAACACCCTCGCCTATTCTGCATCCTTTAGTACATCAAATAATTATAGGACCCCCATAATTTTAGAAAAGCACTCCAACCAAGGCACAGAGCAAGACAGATTTTATTTATCATTTTAAAGAACTGTAGCGTGGAACACATTGTGGGATCTCTATTTTCTTGCTGCCCCAGGAAGCTTCAACTCAGTGTGTTAATAATTCAAGAGGGTGTATTATGTATGAGCATTCTGTGGAATGTGAAAATTCATGAGAGTACTTATTTCCCTTTGAATTCTTAGGTTTGGTAGTTATTTTCTCAATGAGGTGAAAGAAGATTCACAGGTAGAACAACAGAAGAATTCAGAAAAAACAATAACTGCATAAGAAAGGGAATATTGGACGCATTTCATAATGTGATGGTTTCTTGAAAAATAAGAATGTTGAAGCAAGAGAAACCTGACCTGTAGTATCAGCTCTGCCTGTCTGTGCGTGATTGGGTAAATCAACTAACTTACGTATCTTTCTGCTTCTTCACCTGAATGATGAAAGTGGTAACACACACTTGGTTGGATGGCGGGGTTTTGCAACGTCTGCGAGTCACCAAGTGCAGTGTCTTGCACTTGGTATTTCCTCAATAAATGGCACCTAAATGCAGTTGCTGGCCAGCAAGATACAGATTGCAAGTTGGACATCAAAACTCGGTCACTGCAAAGCCACCGTCGGGCTATTTTTTAAAAAGTATCGGTTGTTTTTCGTGTTGTAATAACTTCACTCTTGGAGAAATTAGTGTATCATTCTGTTGAACTGTAAGACATTCAGTGTGATGGGCCACCAAGGATTGTGTTTTCTCTCAGCCCAGAAATGAATGGGGGACGGCTGGTTCTGAATTTTAAAAGCTGTATGATTTTTTGCGCCTTCTTTAACTGTGATATTTGGAATGCTCTCTTAAGTAGGTCTATAATTCTCTTTCATGTCATTTTTTTAGTGTGGTGAGCATTTACAAACAGAGCTCCCAAATTGAAAAGAAATCATAAAAAACGTAGGTTTTGGTTTGAAGGAAACCGAGGGTTCTTACTGTTTTTAATGCAAACCATCAAGAAATCTGTCAGCTTCAACATTACTATTCTGCGTTTCATGGTTCCTGCTAAATGTGCTGTTGATTAATCATGACGATGTGAATGTCATGGGAAAAATATGGAGCTTCATTTTGAAAACCATAAAGGCTCATTATGAAGACTCTGTTTCTTTCCTTCCCCTGCAAGGGACTCAGGTGCGCATATTAAAGCGAAGATAAATTCACACACAAAAATAGAAATCTAAAATTAAATATTTAATTAGAACTCTGATTTGCTTTAAAGATTGGTGGCATTGCACAGGCTATATTACACCCTCTGTATAATTTTTTCGACAAAAAAAGATACTGTTCATTTTAACAGGCCACTTTAATATTAATACATGTGTAATAGGATTGGAACTGAAAATCAGCTAGAGATGGTACATTTTACATTATTGGGAAAATTACAGTTCTGTATTGTAAAAACATTTATTTTTTAACAATGTACCTACATTAATCAAAAAATTACAGCATATTTAATAATTTTACAAATTCTTCATAAAAAATATATCTCTGTACAAAAAGGTCTTTCGCACCTACGTCGTGACAGCAGCGTGTGGTGGGACGGGAGGGAGGGTCGGCGATGACAATGGGTTTTCCTGATCATAATGCCAGCGTTCTTTTTTTTTTCCCCCTTTTTATAATAGCTTTTTTGTTGTTGTTTACAAAATATTTTACAGAAGAAAAAAATTATTGCAGCTAGCCTGAAAAAAGGCAAGATGTGTGTGTAAAACAAGCAGCAGTTTTAAACAGCTCTGAAGCACATGTCCTGTGTTAGCGTGTGGTCGCGTCCCTCACGCGTGTTCCTGTTGCCTTCAGGGAAGAGTCTTCTAGACCTAACTCAGCAAGCACAGCTCCTGACTGCCCTAAAACGAGATCCTCCAACACCTTGCGGAGACTCCGTTCAACACTGCACACAACCCTAGGAAGAAACTAGGCAGAATTCTCACAAGAGAATTCCACTGATTTTTTTTTTCATTTAAATAACATGCTTCGAACTGGCAACCCTAGGACAGTTTGACTTTGCACACAAAGGAAAATCATATCTAATCTGATATGTGGTTTCTTGTATGTATGTATGTCCTTTCGTTTCAGGATTTCATAGCATCATTGACCAGGGAGCAGGTCAGGGATGTGGGAACAGAGACATTAATTCAGACTCTGAAGTCAGCATTTTGCACCTAGTTTGAATGACTCAAACTTAGATATGTACAATATATATATATGTATGTATGTATATATATACACCTAATATGTATAGTAACCCTGTTCTCCCTTGCACACGAGCCTCCTCACACTTTCAACCGTCTTCTCTTTGTTTCGTTCAGTGTGTGTGTTAGGAGCACGACTCCCGCTGACCTCGTCCAGTCTACTGTGAAACAGCAAGGTAAGGATTCCCATTGGCAAAGCCAATCTCCAAGGATGTGGGCAGGGTGGCCAGGGAAAACTGTGCAGAGAATTCAGCGTAATGATACGGAATCCAACAGTGTGGGGTTCACAAGACAGAGGAGTCCCTAGGAGAGGCCAGTGAGTCCCCAGATAGCAGAGACCCCTTCCACTGAGGAACACAGCACTGGGAGCCGAGCCCTACGGAAATGTCCAAGTCAAAACGCGTGACTCTCCAGAGAATGCCCTGTTTTCCTGACCGCTTTTCCTTTATTCACATTTGAAGTCCTACATGGAAACCTTCAGTAGACCGACAGATAAATCAGTCTTAAAGCTAGGTGTGAATGTGTTCACTCCGACAACGTGAAGGCCAATTTGAACATTCTGACATTTCTATTACCAATGCCAATCTAAAATGTGAAAATTTGCCACAATTGGATAGGTACTGAAATATCAAATAATAAAATAAGTATTATCATTTCAAAAATATTTTATCAAACAAGTAAAAATAAACATGATCTTCACTTTGAATTTGTTACATAAACATCCTCATGGTCACATCTTCTACTTCATGTTTTGATTTTTATTCACCCTGGGGATCATACCGATTTTATTTGTACCATAACTTTTCATTTACCTATAATGTAATTTAAACCTGAAAAGTCACTGAAATTACCTTTCCATCTGGAATTATAAAGCATGAAACAAATAACAAATGAATGTATACAATATATCATTGTGAGAGGACAGTGTGTACTTTTTCCTTCCCTCTAAAAGAACACTTAGTATTTTGATCCTGAACAATTTTCACTGAGTTCAAGGTGCTACTGTGGTATATTGTCTTTCAATGCAATATCAAAGATCGATGGCACACTAAAAGACAAAGAAAACAAAAACAAAAACAAAACAAAACAAAAAACAGAAAACAAAAAAACTGCAAAAGGGAAGGCTGCATTGTGAGTTAAAACTCACAAGTTCAACAACTATCTAAAATAAATTACTATTCACAGTTTTACATGGCAAACAGAAATTTCTGCAAACCCCCTGCTATTAAGTAGTATCGGAGAGACAGTAATTGGATGAGGATGGTACTAAAGGAGGAAAACCTGGGAAATAAGGAGCCTTCTGTTATTTTCTCATTGGACCTCTTCAATGAATTCAACACATAAATGGAGCTAATTGAAGCAATAATAAAATAAATCTCTTCAATACTGTATTTCCTTTTAAATCTGTGCCATATCTAGGAATACTTTTCCCTAACACTCCAACTAAGCTGATGGTGGAATGGTTAGCTTGATAATATGAAAGAATGCTTATATACAATGGATACTGTGTATAAACCCTGTGTAAATAATTTATTTTTTATCAGAATCTTATGCAGTCATTCATAACACACTAGTGCAAAAAATTGTGCATCAAACATTCTGCGACAGAACAGCTGATTGGGAAATTTGCAGACATCCCTAGAGATGAACACACAGGGGAGCCGTGAGGTCCTCAAAGCTTGCCAGGTCTCGGAAGGACAGAGTGAAGCCTTTGTAGGTGTGTGCCTCTATCAGAAAGGTGTCTTCTTCCAGAAAGCTTGTTTTATTTTTCTCAAAGTATTCACGTTCATGGGGGTTAAAAAAAACCACACACACACACGCACAAGAGAACACATATTGTGGTGCTACCATTTTGTCACCGCACCCGAAGGACAGATCCACGAGCCCAGAAGATTGCATTGAAAGGCATCCCAGCAACACAGAAATACGAAAGTCTGAGGCATTGAGTACGACGTGTCGGCGTGACGTGGCAGTCTTCCTGGAGTGTGCCTTGATTTCAGACAGGTGCAGCCAGGCATTTAGAACCCACTTTCGGAATGAAAACGCAGGTGTACTTTGATCCGCAGAAGACTCTGGCACATTTCAGTAGAGATCCCCGCTGCACGTATGCCAGTAGACAAGGTTGAAGATCGCTGCAGTAAAGCCAGAGTGGAAGGGAGAGTGGTATATGGCACCAAAGGAATCACTGCTTGTCCATCAGAGGTATGGCTATGAATCAGTCCTGTTGGGGCACTGAGGGCTATACCACTGTACAGACTGTGTTCAGAGTTGTGTCAAACCTCACAGCCTTGGCTTCTGTGGGTTTTAAGTTTGTATCATACATGGGGTTTTCAAACGATGCTTGTCCATTGCTGTTTTCATGCCCAGCATAGCCATTGTATTGAACTTTTGGTCTCGTTCTAAGGAAAACAGAAAACAAATCATGAGAATCCTGGTTTCAGTTGGAGATTTAGCAGTCGGGACTGGGCGCAGGAGACAATGTCTACAGAGCAGGGAGGAGTACAGCCAGGACGTTTGCAAAGAAGGAAGGCGTCCACACCTGCACACCTGTCAGCTTATTTGTTTAAATTGGTGACTGGGAATATAAAATGGGTTTTGAAAAGTGAAGCAGTTTCAAAAATTAAATAAAATTTTTTTGAGACAGGGTCTCACTCTGTTGCCCAGGCTGGAGTGCAGTGGCACGACCACAGCTCACTTCAGCCTGGACCTCTCGGGCTCAGGCAATCCTCCCACCTCAGCCTCCTGGGTAGCTGGGATCAAAGATTTATTTATGCTTCCTACAAATGCCCCAGGGAAATTGGGAAGGTCCCAAAGGCTGAATTTGACTGGTTTTGTTTTGGATGTCTGTTTATCACTGATCAGTTATACAGCCTTGGTTAAGTCACAAAACTTTCTACTACTCTGTAAAATCGGGTTGTGGGCATATGCCTAGCCTTTAGGGCTGTATGATTAAACTAAATTTCAGGTTTAAGCTTTTAGTTCACTGTCGTTACTAATATTCACAAACAAATTATTTTTTATTTTGTCTCTGAGTTAAAAATGAATCTGTTTATAAAAAAGGAACTATACTCATTATTAAACTATTATCACATTTTCTGGTTAAAAGAAAACCCCTACCTACAATCTATGATAGAGAATTAGAGGATTTTCAGACTGAAAAGACAGAATCATGTCTGGTCTGGCTCTGGCTCCTTTTATTCTTTCCTTATTCCAGAAGAAATCAGATAAGAAAAATGTGCCACGTGGCAAAACCAGAAATTTAATGGACATAAACATGCTTCGCAAAAACATCGTCTGACATCGGGTGTCAAGAAACTTCTGCCGAGTCATTTACTAGTAGATTTCCTTACGTTACACATGCTCATTAAGAAAAAGAGAAGTAAGTAGTGCATGGCCCTGAGAAAACGGCAGAACTGCAATTTGTAACTGCCCTTGGAGTGGGAGAGGTCGACATTGCACTTGGAAAATGCGCCAGCAGCAGCGATAGTTAGCAAACAAATCCAGCCCCTCATGAATGAAGACCTGGCTAAAATGTTCACTCAATCGTCCGGATCACAAGCTGCCACAGTCCCTTCACGTCTAGGGAAATGCAACCCCACAGTGGAACTGGCGGCAGCTGGATGCTGAGGTGCACGCGTGCAGCTGCATCTGGCAGAGGGCTGTCAGGACCTCGGGCTCTGAGGAAGCAATTCCCCACATGCAAGCAACAGACTCAAAAATGAGCAGAAACAGGGTTTTTCTGGAGGAATACAGAGCCAATTCATTAAGAAATATTTATGTCTGTAGAGCCCGAGAAGCCAGTGTAGAGGGTGCCACAGGCTTGGTGCTTTCCTGACCAGGTAGTGAGAACTTGAAGGAAATGAATTGATGTGCTGCTGGCAACTGAGCCCTGGACTTCCTTGATTTTGCAAAAATTCCACCATCCCTCGCCCCTATGGCACGAGGGATGAAAAGACCCAACAGACTGAGAAGTCACAGTGGCCTCGTAGCCGCCCTCTTGAGAGCTGTGAGAGGGAAGAGCTTCCTTCATATTCAACACGCAGGGCAGCCTCCTGGTCTTGGTGCAGCATCAGGAAGGGAGGGAGTGCAGGTGTGATGACGACAGATTCCCCACTGGCCCAGAGGAGGCATCAAGTTTACATAAAAATAAGTGCTGTCTCCCTTATATCTGGCTCTGAAATCTGAGCTCTCTTTCCAAGGCACTGCCTTCACGGAGACACCCAACTACTCAACATCGACAGGGAAGATGCTCAGGTTTAATGACTAAAACTGGTGTGTATGTTGAATATACCCCCCAATGCTACATTGTCTTAAAGATATAATCAGAAGTCATATTTATGTATAAATATGCATATATAATTATGTGGGGTTATCTTTTTAAAGGCCAAGACAATCCCAGACTTACATGAAGGTTTGCATCTTTGCAGGCAAGTTAACGGAAAACAGCTTTAATGGACTTGACCCTTTCCTTGGGGTTAATGTGGATGCCAATCAAAAACAAAAATAAATTTGTAGGAATTGTAAGTTCCTACAGTATGTGTCTCTATAAGGATATTATATGACCCCGAGGAACCTTTGAAAGAAGATACATTTTTAGTGCATATCCCTTTAAGAAGAGAAGCCCCTCTAATTATGGCATCTTATTGGATAAGGTAGTGGCATATCCTTCTACATTTACTAAATTTTAAACTAGTCCTGAGCAGAAATTCAAGGATAAGGCTCATCAGACTTGTGTGTTTTGGGTATTTTTTCTTCCAAAAAATTAATACAGATGTGCCAATCTTTCATTTTGTAAATATCATCTGAAATGTTTTTTCACTGAGTCATATTCTTAAAGAAAGAACATTACCAGCCATTAGGGAACTGAAGACATAGGTACAAGCGGCTAATACACCTTTGAAGCAACATTCTCTCTACTGTGTACTTCAAAAGTGACTACAAGAAAGCACATATTTAAAGAGGCTATTTCATGAGTTATTTAAAAAAATATGACAGTTTTTCTGTTTTCTGTTAACCAGAATTAAGTGAAATATCCGTATTATATACTGATATTTATTTAACCTATGTAATTTTATTTCAGGGGATCATAATTTACTTCTTATTATTTGTAGTTAATGCTACCATTTCAAATAGTATTTTAGAGTAGTTTGGCATTTCCAGATTCCTCCAGGAATGTATTATCCATATACGGATACAGTGTACAAGGAGTTTATAGTTCCTCCAAAATAATCCTTTTTTTTGGCATCCACATTCATCCCAAGGAAAGGATCTAGTTCACTAAAGCTGGTTGTCCCCAAGTTTTGATATTTTGCAGTTAGTAGAGTTTTGCAAATTAATGGATATTCCGAACAGTTTTTCAAGAGATGGAACATCTATATTGCTTACTGCATATAAAGAGCTACATTTGTATTTGTTGAAGGAAGAAATCAGTGAAACAATTATCAATCACAGATTCACAGAGTTGAAAGTGGCCATAGAGAACATTCTGTTCAACCTTTTGCTGGAAGGTTGAAATACCTTCTAAAGGTTCTCATGGCTGGCCATGGAGCCTGAATATAGAGATAGAATCCTTTATTTCATCTTTCAATTGAACATGAAAGAAAAAAATTATTTCTCAACTCAGTCATTTATTCTCTTATTTCTTAGATGTATCCTGCTTAAAAAGTAGGGCAGAAAACAACAAAAAAGACAACAAAAAATCTTCACAAATAAGCATTGTTAGTGTAAGAAAGAGCACTGCTCTCACTCATAAGTGGGAGCTGAACGATGAGAACATATGGACACATCGGGGGACAACACACATTGGGGCCTGTGGGTGGTTGGGGGTAGGGAGAGCATCAAGAAGAACAGCTGATGGGCGTTGGGCTTAATACCTGACGGACGGGCTGATCTGTGCAGCAAACCACCATGGCTTACGTTTCCCTAGGTAATAAACCTGCACATCCTGCACATGTACCCCAGAACTCAAAAGCTGATTACAAAAAGGAAGAACATTGCATAGTAATATAAAATACGTGTGCACGGGAGCACGAGACCATACCCATTACTTAAACCCATAGTTTACACTCACAACATTCTCAAATAGATGGTGTTTCTGCAGTACCTGTGTTTGTAGAGGTAAAATGCAAACCCTGATAAAATTAGAGCAAAGAAAGGAACCAGAATGGCAGCCGCCACAGAGCCACTGCTGGTGCCGTGGTAATGATTCGAAGAGTCTTGATCTGGGTTTAAGGGATCTGGAAGATAAAGGAAGTATTCAATTTGTTGTTACTGTACTCTGCTTGAAGAAATAAGTATGATACATTTTATAAATGGATATGAACTCTACAAGAAGCAGACGGAGTTACCATTTCACAGGAAACCAACTGATATTCTTTTCTAAAGATTTTAATATCCACTTAGTGACCAAGACAAAAAACTATTTCCTACTAATCATGGAGAATACTACGAAAGAGTCCCAACATTTAAAATGTGAGAAAGGCAAAAGGGTCACTTTACATCCTGACTTTTGTTTATAGTTATAGGTATTTTCACAAAAACTAACTGAAAACATTTATATATGTTTTCTATATTCAGAGGTCAGTAATATTTGCTGTTTGTTTCTGTCTTAAGGCCAGACTCAGCAAAATATGTCATTGAAATTATGTAAATATCCCAGTTATGCACACAAATGGCATTGCATTCTTCATATGTGAATAGGATGGTGCTATCTGATCCGCCTTTATTTTAGGTAGATTCTGAAATTCACATCTGAATTTAGAAATACTCAAAAAAAAATATAGTTCAACGTCACAATGCAAGTTTCCATGAAGACACAAAATAATGCTAAAATACAACTTTTTAAATTAATTAATTATTTTTTCTTGAGACAGAGGCTCACCCTGTCGCCCAGGCTGGAGTGCAGTGGAGCCATCTCAGCTCATTGCAACCTCCGCCTCCAAGGTTCAAGTGATTCTCCTGCCTCAGCCTTCCAAGTAGCTGGGATGACAGGTGCCCGCCACCATGCCTGGCTATTTTTTGTATTTTTAGTAGAGATAGGGTTTCATCATGTTGGCCAGACTAGTCTCGAACTCCTGACTTCAAATGATCCGCCCACCTCGGCCTCCAAAAGTTCTGGGATTACAGGCCTAAGCCACTGCGCCCGGCCTAAAATATACCTTTTATCCATTAGAAAGGAAGGCAGATGTAAATACTTCATGTATCATGAAGGTGATAGAATCATCCATTCTATAATACACGACTATGGAGTGTCTCATTGCATGGTACTGAGAGGAAAGCATTAAAAATTCAAATCCACAAATATTTATTAAGCAACTGTTGCCAAAGAAGAAAACAAGTTCTTGAAGAGTGTACTAACAAAATACAATTTTGAGATGGATTTGGCCTAATTGCATGGAGTCACTTAATGCAGGTGTGCAATGAATTATGATTGGCGTCATCTCAATATAGCAGAATTGTTAAGAAGAAGCTGATCTGGTTTTCATATTTCCAGAATTTATAAAATGTCAAATTCAAAGAGATGTTGCTTTATTTATTGTTATATAAACCAGAAATGCAAAAAATCAATCAAATATTAAAAATCTTTAAATCACTATTTGTATCAACATTCTTTAATTTTCATATAAAAACTCAAATGACATTATTTGCCATTTGCTTCAATCGATGTAGGATTACGACTGCCTACAATATTAACGTCCAATAGGAACATATTTCGAAATAATGTTGGCTTTTTAAAACTACATATCTTTTTGAGATTTGTCCCATCCTCATGCAAAAGGAAAATGCCAGACGTCTGCTCTCTTGCAATCTGAGCACCCAGGTTATGGATGTGCAGTGAGTGAGGCCAACTGGATGTTCCCACCCCAGGCACTGTATTGGAAGTGAGGGATGCAAAACATTCTGTGATGGTTTAAAAGTTGTTCCATGGGTGAAGGGGTTCTAGAACCCTGGGGACAACGTAAGTGTGTGTGTGTGTGCACACACATTGAGGGTGGTCCCAGCAGCAGCAGTGGTGGCAGCAGTGATGTCCGGTGACCAGGGGTGGTGCTGTCCAACAGAGAGCAGTGGTGCCCTACTCAGATGGCACCAACTTCATGGGTTGGTTGTGAAAATCATATGTTAGTACATCTCAAGGGCTTACAACAATGCCTGGCACAGAGGGAATGTTCACTCGGACTCAGAGTCACAAAAATAGAAGCTTCCTGAAGCCAGGGTTTTTGTTTTGTTTGGTTTGGTTTGGTTTGGTTTGGTTAGCTTTCCTCTTGAATCCTCAGAACCTGCAACAAAAGCTAGGATACAGTATGTGCTCAATATATATTTGTGAAATTTTTAAAAAAGTTTTATCTTTATAGCATTTCAGCACCCAAATATGTTTTAGTTTCCATTATGTTGCCATACATTGATCTCCAAGTTTCTGTAATTCTGGGACTCTCTGTCTCATTCTTATAAATGTGTATTCTACTTACATTAACCATAGTTACTTTCTTTTATCTGAAAACAAAGCTACACACTTTTATCCATAATAGATATCAAAATTCAAATAATAAAATGCTGGAAAATCTACATGTCCCAAGACACCTCACATGAAAACAAAGAACACCACATAAGAAGATGTTTGTGAATTACATAACCAAACGTACTGTGAGATTATTACATGTCTGCAGCTCCTGGTTAATTTCAGTTACTTACCCTTGTTTTAATAATTTGAAGGTTAATATACACACATGGTGCTAATTAAGATGGCATAAAGGGATATGAAAACAAATAATATAAAGGAAAATTAAAATAATCATTTCTTGCCCTACAAGGCAGTTCCTCTTTAGAGTTGAGGGTTTTAAAAATTGTCCTTCCAACAATGTACTCTTAATATATGTGATTATTTTTCTCTTTCCTCATTTTAATAATTGGTGATATTATTTGCATGTTATGTGGCTTTTTAACCTTAACAGTATATTTCTGAGGCTCTTCCATTGGCATATATAAATCAGATTTAATTTTTTAAGGTGCGTAGTATTCTACTGATTAGACATAACAACATTTATTTAGCCAGTCTACTGTCCAGGGACATTTAGGGTATTTCTAGTATCTTCTATAATGCTGCAATGAAATCTTTTGCCTCTATCTATGCATTAGCAGGAGTCTACATTATATAGGACAAATCTTCAGAAGTAGAATTATTGACGAACAGAATTTGTGCCTTTTAGTGTTGCTACATCCTACTTAATTGCTCTCTAAAGAGGCACTGCAATTTCATTCAACCATTATCCTACGAGGGTCTTTACAGTAACACATGGACAGCGTGTGTGATCCCTCTGCTACCCTCCTTTCCCTCCTCCTCCCGCTCCCTGTTTTCCCCTTTCCCTCCTCCTCTCTCATCGCCCTCCTTCCACGTGTTATTATTGGTTCCACCACTGTTGTGCAACTGTTGCTGCTGCTACTATGGTGATAAATCAAACACAGTAGTTAGGTATTTATAAATTTACATTTTTTTACTGAAGAAGGAGGGTGATAAGCTAGGTCATTCAATTTTCTAAAGCTCATTCTTGAAACAAATGCACATCCAGTCACACAACACTTCACGTGGGGGATACATTCTGAGAAATGCTTCGTGAGGCCATTTTGCGGCTGTGTGAGCCTCAGAGTGCACTCACACACCTAGATGGTGTTGCCTACTGCACACCTAGGCTATAGGTACAGCCAGTGGCTCCTACGTGAGTAACGCCGTGCACTATGACATTATGGCAGCCATGGTGTCACCAGGTGTTAGGAATTTTTCAGGTTCTTTAGAATCTTATGTGGTCACTGGTGTATACGAGATCTTTTGTTGACCAAAATGTCATTATGCGATGTGTGACTATCCTATATAATTCATTCACTTAAGCTGAACACACAATCCAAGGCTTTCTCAGTGTATTCATAGGGTGGTGCAATCATCACCACGGTCTCACTTAGAAGACTGGTGTCCTTCCAAAAGAATCTCAGTATCTCTTAGCTTTATTCTTCCTCCACCTTCATCGCAACCTTTAGCCCTAGACAACCACTAATCAATGTTCCATCTCTATGGATTTGCCTGTTACGGACATTTCCTGTAATGGATTCATACACTATTTGGCCTTTTTTATCTGGCTTCCTTCATTTAGCATGATGTTTCAAGGTCCATCCCTGTTGTAGCGTTCATCAATACTTTATTCTTCTTCAGTGCTAATATTCCATTGTGTGGCTATACTACATATTGTTTATCCATTCATCCACTGATAGACATTTTAGTTGTATGCACATTTGGGTTATTACAAATAATGCTGCTCTAAGATTCATGTACAAGTTTTGTGTGACATATATTTTCAGTTCTTTCAGCTACACATGTAGGAGTGGAATTGCTGGAGCTTACAGTAACAACTGTTTGATGAACTGCCAGAGTGTTTTCCACAGCAGCTGTATCATTTCGTGTTTCCCCAGCAAAGCACGACTGTTCCAGTTCCTCTGCCTTCTTGCCACCCTTTGCTATTTGGCTTTCAGATCACAATCATCCTTGTGGACGTGAAGTGGTATCCCAGTGTGGTTTTGATTTGCATTTCCCTAATAATGATTATAATCAACATATTTTCATGGGCTTATTGCCATCTGCATGTCTTTAGAGACATATCTATTCAAATCTTTTGTCAATTTCTTATTTAGGTTATTTGCCTCTGTATTTTTCAGCCATAAGAATTCTTTGTATATTCTGGATACAAGTCACTTATCAGGTACACAATTTTATGTATTTTCTCTCATTCTTTGTGTGTATGCTAGGGTTGGGTCACTCAATCTTAATGGGGAAATTAATTTATTGTTGAGTTTTTTGTGCAAGTTTTTGCATTAAAGTTGTCTTTCAAGTTAATTTTATTTTAGTATCCACTTAATGACAATCACATTTTTTGGTTTATCTACTGACTAGAAAAAATTAGGAGGTTGTTTATTTTTATCCATAAAAATAGATACTTGCCATCATTCTTAAATGAATGGTTGTTGTTGCAGAATTCCTTAAACACAAACTTCTCTAATTAGCTGAAGGGCGGGGGGACTTACTTATGAGTCAAATTATTTTGTAAAGTAAATTTCTTTTTCCTGACAATAACCTCATCATCACATGAGAATACAAATTCCTTGTTGAAGCAAGCTGTTATTTTGTTAGATTAAAAAGAAATGGGGTAATGCAAATAAAATTAGTAATAGCAAACTGATAGTTCAGGTCAAGTTCACTGGATCGGTAAACTTAGACATCTACACAGCATCTTGTACAGCTCACTGGGGTGTCCTTAAACAAAATTACTAGAGCGTGTGCTACATAGAGAAAGGAGGACAAATAACTCCGGGATTTGGCTTAGAGCAAGAGAAAAAACATTACCCATCATTAGTGTTGGTCTAATGCGTTTATTCTATTTCATTACCTCAAAATAATATAACCCAATTTAAAATATAATCTCAGCCATGGCCAACATTATAATGCTCTTCTATTTAATAATACTGTAGTTTGAATAGTGGAAGTAAAGTATTTTATGATTAATTATCCTTTTTTTTTTTTTTGCCTTTCTACAAGCCAGTAGACATTTTTTGCATTCAGCACTTTGATAAAAGTCTTACAAAATAACTTCATCGTGGTAATCATCACAAAATTGTATACTCACATTCTTCCAAAAGGTGGCTCTGGTAGCAAAGCCTATATGGTAATTTTCTTCTTTATAAAATAATGTGTGAATAGTATAAATGCATTAGACCAACACTATGTCTGGCATATTTATTGCATTATTTCTGGCTTTGTGTTTGTCTATTTTGCTATTCAAAATACTTTTTTTTTCATTCAGCTGTAAAATATGTTAGTCTCTCCCATTATTTTTGTTTAGGTTTCTTTTAGAGTTGTCTTTTCTATTTCTTCTTAGAAAAATCACTGGAAAGCCAAACTGATATTTGCTTTAAAAAATATCCTAAGTGCAACTTACCTTGCCTTTCTAGCTTAAATTTTCCAAAGTCTTTTCCATGAATGTCACCTTGAAAGGTAAATCCTCCTCTTTCAAGTCCAGATGATACCTGATATATAGGAAAGAAAAGAAATATAAAGGTATACAAAAGAATGAATAATATCTTCTTTTAGTATATCTTTTAATATAACTGTTACAGCTCATATTTAGATACTACTGGTTAAATATTTTATTTCTGCCACTCCTTTTGGTGACACATTTATAGTTAAAGATCAGAAACCAACACAGAAGTGAACTTCACCTAACGTATGTAAATCTCACAATCTCATTTTGATCTCGAAAATGATAGTAAATTTTACAGTATATCCATATGGTAACTACACTTTCTAAGGGAAGACAAATGTATGAATTAAGAAACAATCTACGTTATGTAAAACTGGCTGTGTGTCCCAGCTACTGGGCAGGGTACATCATGTGAGGCTGTCTACCCTTAAGTCAGATAGTGAATTAGAACACAAACAAATGGTTAACTTGCAAAGAAGGGTGTTAAGGGGGACGTCTTAAGTCTCTCTGGCAATGATTTCTCTTAGAACGAGCAGCGTGGTTATCAAGTGGTCTTAGAAAATTTCTGGTGGTACCACTCATGATATAATGTAGCAGTAACATCACAGACCCTGGATTTCAGGTCTTGTTCTGCCCTCAACTGCAACCACCCCTTTAAGGATGGCCAATTTGTTTCTTACGTCTTAGACCTGGTTTCTTCCCTTATAAAATGAACGAATAAAATGACCACTCTGTCAACAAGAGGGGCGGCCGAGTTTTCAAGGGGCACACATAAGACAGCTCTACTCAGAAGCCTCCAATCCGTAGCCCTCGCCTCTGCAGAGATATTAGAAAGCCTGTGCTTTGTCACAGACCTTACACATGTACTTACGTAACCATCTAGTCCCCAGTTGTCATTTTCAAACTTGCTTACAAAAATATCTGCCGGACCTTTAATTTGAAAAGCTTTTAGGAGTAAGTGGGCCTCCTCCTTCTTGTAAACGCCTGTGAAAAGATCAGCAGGTCAGGCTTACCTTGGAGAAAGTTAGCAATTCAGCCCTTTCATCCATTTGATGTGGAATGTGGTACAGAGACGATAATATCATAGATAATAGAAAACTCAAACAGAAATTGTATTTTTATTTGTGAATTTTAGCCTTGGAGCTTCTTTTTTCCCCTGAAAATCTTCCTACATCCTTGTCTATCTTCAATAGGTATAATCCACTCCACTAAGTTCAAAACCCTTATTCCACAGAAAGAATAAATAATAACATATCTGATTTTGCTAATTAAAAAATCTCTCTCTAAAAAAGTACACAATAGAAATACTTACATCACAGAATTAATGTAAGAATGAAAAAGATAATACACATACGGTGCTTAAAATACTTTTTGCCATATAAATCAAGGCTGTTTTTATTAATTGTGTGATGATTTTAAAAATCTCATGATGAGCACATGAGTTAAGAAAAAAAGGATTAAAAAATAAAGTTTGGAGACATGCATTATCTATATATGAATCTCAGATTCTTGACTTAATATGGGCATAATTTTGAGCAAATCAGTTCACTTTTCTGTACTGGTTTTGTAATCTTTAAAATGATAAAATAGTACCAACCTCTCATGGCTAGGGAGAGGCTCCAATGAGTTACAGTATATGCAAAGTCAACAGAACATTAATAATTAATACTTACTAGATCACCTCTCTGTGAAAAGAGAGCAGGTCTATTTCCGCTCACACCATGCATTTCGTGAATTCTTCGGGACCTACCTGTCAACCTCAGCTCCACTTGCGAGGCTTCACTGAAGGTGGCATTCACCTTACTGCTTGTGGCATTGAACCAGTCAACAGTTAGAGTGGCGGGTTGCCTTTTCCCTAAATATTCATAATATCCCTTCCACACTGAATTGACGAAAAAGACGTCTGAAGGAACTGTGGGAAGGGGGGAAACAGATGAATGTCAGCACACACACAAACAATAAATTCAGACGTCATTAAACATAGAAGGCATAATACTGCTTAGTGAGCGATCACAGATGAGGGCAGTGATGAAGACAAGGGGAGCCTAGTGCATCGCTGTTCACAGCATGTGCAAAACTCAAAAGAAGCAGGTGCGAAGATTATTATGGTATGCAAGTAGACATTTGTGTTTATGGTCTTATTTTTATTATTATTATTATTATTAGAAGCCAAAGCATACCTATTTTAACAGCCCTTCCAAGGTCATAGGGTATGGTGAATTAGGACTTCTAACATTAGTTTAGTTTTTACTGTGCTTAGTAAGATATATGTTTATCTGACCCATGAAATCACTACTGATATTTCAATAATATCCAAGTCTACTCTTTGAAAGACTTGGAAGGCTCAGAAGAACTGATATATATCATTCGACAGCAATGCCCTATCTTGAAAAAGCTTACATATCCCAGCACCAACTGCACTGGATATTCCAGCACCACATGGACTTATGAAGACAAAGCCCTTTCATTTCAGAGTCTTTCTTTTGTAAGTAGAGTCAGTCCCTCTCATTCACACTCTTCTGCTCTTCTTTAATCTCTTTGTGTAAAATATTCCATAAGTAAGAAAAGATGGGCTCAATAATTTCAAATTTTTCTTTCATATATGTCTTTTAAATTCAGTAATAAAAGACACAGTCTTTTTAAAGCATAGAATTCATCGACAGGAAAACTTGCAAAGATTATTGAGATATTTCCTCATGCTTTCACTGCTTAAGAAAAAAAAAACTTATTTTTCATGTGTTTGTTTAAAAATGTGTATAAAATCCTGCCATTTTCACACATGAATTGTAGTGTATAAATCCACATGATGATTCCAATGTTCCTTTTTGTTTTCTGCCTTATGATGTGTATGAATTATTTACTTAGACAAGATTCATGATAAGCATAATTGGTCAAAACACATTGCTTGAGTTGCTAGGTGGAAATGAAGATTCATGTCTCCCTAGCCTATTTTTTAGAAAGTCCATTTACAGTTGCAAATAATGAGGACAAAAGTATATTGTGCCTATACCTATGCTTCTCTTTTCAGCCCAGTTGGCCATTTTCTTGTTTTCCTAGGCAGGCTAAACCTATAAAGCTTGGCCTAGCAAGAGAAGGGTTAAAGAAGAACAGAAGATAATAGCTTCCTTTGGCCTTAAGTAGACCCCACCTTCTCATAATAATAGTGATAAGAAAATAAGTTAAAAACTCATATATCCACACAAGTATCTAACACATTTACTTACAAATCACTGAGTTTAGACACATCTACTTAGCCATTGCCAGCACCACAGAGACCCCCATTTTAATCAGCAACTCCAAAATAACTTTATTTTCCATTACTAAAATTAATAGCCTTTGAAGCACATAAAAATGTTTTCCCTAATTAGAAGTTATATGCTCTTCTGAAGTTACTAAACCACTTGTCCAAGCATTCACTTAAGGTAATCCTGTTGAAGTTTCACAGGAATGGGCCAGGCTTGGCTGGGTAGGGTAAGATACAATCAATGTCTTAGAAGTGGCTTCTGTGTATTAAATATGACCACGAGCCATGTGGTAGAGGTCATCTTTCTGGGTCTCTATAATTTCACTTGTTGCTGGCAGCCTGCAGTATAATGCAGAAGCCACATAGCTGAGATGTACTACAATGTACCACCTTGATGAAGAATCACATTCTATTAGCACTTCCCTTCCAAGAGCATACGAAAAGGAATATTGATAATAATGTTTGCACCTACAAAAGGAGTGTATAGAGATTTCAATATCTTGAACACAAAATAAGCAAATAAAAAACACAACACACACACAACAATAATAACAAAAAGAGACTGTGTTTTCTTCCATTGGAGAAAATGTTGCCTGGATAAAAAGCTTTGACTTCTGTATGTGATTTTTAGGTGATATTTAAATAAAATAGTCTAGAGAGATTTAAAAAATATTTTATATTCTTTAGTATGCAGATTGGAGAAATTCCTTTAGTCATATTGGCACATTTTTCTTTGTCTAAGAATTAAGTGTGTAATACAGCATCCTGACAATAGCATTACAGATACTCTTTCCATGTTTGATTCTAAAATAGAGCTTATGTCCAAAAAAAAAGTGTGAAAACCTGAATAAAGTACTAGTGACCTTATATATTTACAAGGGATTTCTCTTTCTGATAAAACAACAACAACAACAAAATACCCAACTTAAATTAATATAATTTGGGATCCATTTTGTTATTTAAATATAATTTAAATTTAAAACACAGATAGAACATGCCAGATGATTTTGTATCGTGAAAACTTTCCTCAGGAAATAGGACAAAACACAGATAGAACATGCCAGATGATTTTGTATAGTGAAAACTTTCCTCGGGAAATAGGACTGCATTTTTGCAATTTGCTACATAATGCATTTAGCAAAAGGCACCACATACAACAAAAAACTATAATTAACATCTTAGAAGGCAAAGGATGCCTGAATGAATGGAGATACTTGGAAAAAATCGGGCTCCATATTTGAACTGTTTGCATTAACAACTTACGCTGTAAAAATGCCTCATTGATATGAGCTTCCTCATTTGGAGGAAGAAAATCGCAACCCTCTTTATAAGGCTCTCCATTATACCACATGGAATGATCAGTGTTTTCATTTCTCCTGCCAAACGCGGAAGGCACGTTTGAATGAAACAGTGTGTGATAACACGAAAGGTTTTCTTTCTGAGTGGAGTAACGTTATTTCATTAACAAACCACTGTTGTGAAATACACAGAATTCTATGTAGGCTTCGTGTTTTAAATAATTGAAACATTAACTTTGTCATGGACTAACGGATTCGGAAATTTAAATGTTGAGAATTGTTTCACTGTGCAGAGTAGAGAACAAATCACTTTATTTGATTGAAATCTATAACTGTTCTGGTATACAAACCTGGAGTTTTAGTAACTGTTTCATTAACTTCTCTCACTCCTTTACCTACAAGTAAAAAGACAAATTATCATTTTTTAAAAAAAACATTTTTGAGTAAGTTTGAAAAAATGTCAAATTGAAGCAATTTTCCTTCTCCAGATTTTTTAATGTACAAAATATGAATACCTTATACATATACATTTTAAACCCATGTCTTTACAGCAGAATATTCTTGGTGTTTGTGGGAAAGCAGAGTTTAAGGATGAAAAATCAATGTACATCTATCTACGCATATTTCCATTGAAAGTGCTACAACAGAGAGCCTTGCAAAGGAGGGTGGCTTCTATGACTTTTCTCATATCCTACTTGGAATACCCTGCTACATATGAAATAACCAAATAACCACGATGTTATAGTCCCTCTTGATTGTCCAATACCCCACCCAAGTCAATGAATTTATACATTACTATTGAAAAATTCAAAATTATTTCCATTTCAGAATGTTCATTTTGGTCTATCAAGTTAGATTTAAATCATAATTTCTTAGCTTTCACAGTTTTATATCAAACTACGAATCACCATTTTAAAAGTTTTCATTCTTCTATTTCTAACAGGGAAGGGCAAGGGAAACAAAAGTCTCTCTAAAATCCCTAATATGAGAACTATAAATAGGCTCCAGGAAACAAAACCTAAGGTCACTGACTTTCTCATGTTCCATCATTTTTGGTTTATGCTGTTTAGACTCCATGGATTTATAAATTACATACAGCGGAGAACCTGAAAGTTTGGCTATCATCAAAGCTGACCCAGGCTGATGATTGTCACTTGTAAACACACAAATTGGTAATTAATGGATCGTTCTATGTGAATTGCTTTTGTCATTTTACAAAGCAGAACCAATGTCAGGGACACATAAACTTAGGTTTTACCACAAACAGCATGTGGTCTTAAAAATAACCACCTATATATTCTCGGATACTTGGTGATATTTATTCATTTTCATCTCTAAGAACTACTTTTCCTGAAAATATACCGAGTATTATTTTCCTTTTAATTCAGAATGCTTTTCTTTAACCAAATAGCTTTTCTTTTTTGGCTTAAAATAATACAATGATTGTATTATGTACTAATTGCATACTAATTGTACTATACATCCGCTTGGCTCTGCCACCGTTGCATCAAACACTGAGGATACACACGTTCACGCACACAGCTCACGCACATGAAGCAGGACTGAGGCAGGTGACGATGCTGCAGCCTCAAGCTCTTACTTATGGGTTTCTCACATGGACACTAGCCTGATGGGCAGCCGATCCTTTCCCTTGCTCTTTGGAAAAGTATGCCACTCCTTGATCAGTAACTTACTTTTACACACAGGCGACTTTCCTGTCCATTTCATGTCTGCTTTACAGGTTCTGTGCTCAGATCCACCTGCGAGGAAGAAGCCTGGATGGCAAGTGTACACTAAGGTGTAGCCGAAAGTAGGAAGATCGATGGCTCTCACGTCTGCGTGCGCCGGGGTTTCTGGCTGTCTGCAGGCATGAGCTGAAACAACATTAGGAAATACTGAGACTTTGTTTACTGCAAAGTCAGCACATGTGTCTAGAGAAATGAATAGACCAAAACAGTTTGGAAATTGTTATGCAGTCAGTCATACATATATGTTACACATATGTATGTCATGTTTTTGGTAGAGATGAAGTCTTGCTATATTGTCTAGTCTGTGCTAGAACTCCTGACCTCAAGCTATTCTCCTGTGTTGACCTCCCAAAGTACCAGGATTACAGGCATGAGCCGCTACACCCATCCTATGTATATTTATACATAGGTAATTATGCACAAAGATTTAGAGTAGAGATCATAGCTTTGAAATAAAAAAACACTTCTGCTATACTACTAAAATAAATATGTTAAAGATCCTTAAAAGCCCAGTCTTACAAATTATACAGACCAGTGAATATTTAGATATGCCTTGATTTTGTTCTGGTGGAAACCAGCAAATTTATTATTCAATTTCATTAACAATTGTGGTAAAAATTTCGTGTGTATTTAGAAACTTAATATATTATAGATACTTATTTTCTTTAAAATATAATTTAGGAATAAATGAGATTGTAATGTATACTCTGTATCTCAAACCACTCCATTCCTTATAAAGTTTGCATGTATGCCATAAGGATTGGCATATTATTATAAAACAAGTTTATAATTTTAACATTGTGCATGCAGTTGTTTTGAGTATCGTCACTATTTCACTAATGAGTAACCATAACCAGTACCTGATATTATCAAACTCCATATTATATATAAACACATGCATATATGTACGAGTGCATGTATATACATCTATATGTACATATACTATCAACATATAATTTGAGTAGTGATTTAGAGCAGAGATGATAGTTTTAAAATAAACACACCCAAAAATCACGTCTTATATACTATTAAGATATTTTTATAACATTCTACTAATGTTTTATTTTTAATATAGTAAGAATAAGACACTGTATTTCACTAAATTGAGAGTGAGTGAAATGAATAATTCACATACTACCCATCCATCCATATATTTTTCCTAATTATCATGATGAAGTCACAAAATAAAATGCGATCCTTAAGTATGTATTTGAATGATCAATTCATATATACTCCCTAATTATAGCGAGAATAATCTTTTAAACACTTCTACTTAGACTCTTACATATGACATTATTCAGTTGACCCTCTCTTTAGTAATTTGATGTAAATATCCTAGAAGAATAATAGCATGGACAAATACGTTTTCCCTCTAAGAATGTTCAATGTAATGTTATTCACTTATCTTCGGTTTCAAGCAGTTTCTCAGACTTTACTGTGCCTTAGAATCTCCTGGAGCGCTTGTTAAACTAAACTGTTCCCCTTCTCTCCTCCCTGGCTCCCTCCAGAGTCTCTGGTTCAAAGTCAACAGTGGGGCTTGAGAACTGACGTCACAGGCCAATGTCCAGCCAAATGCTTAGGCTGCCAGTTCTAGGGAACCAAACTTTGAGGACATCCAAAGTTTAGGATTGGAGAGTTAAAAACAATTTCTTATTATTTCCCTTAGTGGTAAACACTTCCCAGACATTCACAACAAATAGTTTACTTCAGATTGTGGTGGAAGAAATCACACTTACGTATACATTCGGTCTGTATCCCACTCCATGTTAAATTGGCAAGGCAGGTGCGAGTCGTGGAACCTTGAATATGGTAGCCTTTTCTGCACCTGAAAAAAACCGTGCTTCCAACCTAGGGAGGAAATCCAGTACTAGCTTCAGAGGCCAAGGAAATATTCGAAGTATCAACTGGTGATACTTGAAAGCACATGCCAGGGTAAAAGTATAGCAGCAATTTTTCACGTTAATGTCGAGCCATTGTCTAAATCAACGTGTACATTATAACTGCATGTTACAGTGTTACACACAATGTGGATTGCTCAATGAATAGTGTGAGATCTTTGTGAATTTTGAAAATTTAGAAGGCTGTTTGGGTAAAGAAGTTATGCCTTTTCTGTTTTAGAGTTCTTTATTTTTTGTTTGTAATAATTATTATTTCCTTTTTCATTTTTTTTCCTGCCACTCACATTTTAAACAATTGGCATTTATTAGAAAATTACTTTTGTTAGCACTCCTAGGGGACTGGTCAACTCCTGCTCATACAGAGGCCGCCAAAACTCTGTCTTTCTTACGCTTCAGACTGTACAAACTATTTACTGTTGTCTGCATGTCTGGGGCATCTTCCTCACCAGGTCTTCACAAAGCTAACCCCTACTAAATTCTCTGTGCTTTCCTTAAACTGCACATCCTCTGCAGATTCTTCTCTGATCTTCCAAGAGTGAATCACGTGCTGCTCAAATGCGTTTCCCCAACATCGGATGTTATCTGCGCCACTCACTACAACGTCTTGGAATTGCCTGTATATTTATTTACCTGTGTGTGTTCCTAATTTAACCAGAGGTGCCTTGAGGGGCAGATTCCTGTGATCTGTAAATATCTTTTTTAGAGAATGAGCTCTGGTCCATGTGTTGAGGGGCACCAAAGATCGTCCATGTTCCTGCGTATCTGCAGCATGAGGCCAGCATGACCCACGTACAAAGGAAGCAGCCCCCAGGGAAGGCGGGTTTGCACTCGTGACAGCTTGGCTTGGGACCAGATTGTTTCTTTAAAGCTTGACTTATGAGAGCACATAAGTGTACCAAGTTAGAGTCCAAAGATTTGAATACTCCATTTGTTTCTTGCTCTGAGAAATTTAACCAGTTATTTCATTCCCTGTGTCTGCCTTCTCATAGGAGTAAGCCCATACCTCCCTCGTTGGGATTCTGGGAAAATAGCGAGAAGTGAAATGCAAGAAAATAGTTGGTACATTGAATAGTGAGAAAGGATATCAGGAGAAAAAAAATGGTGCTTCTAGCACTTGATACAGTGGAAGTAGGAATTTATAAAGAAAAGTGCAAATTTGATAAATGTCAAATCAATAGCTAATTTAAGATTCAATGATGGGAAAGAGTTGACTCAGTTACTCTTGATTGATTGACGATTGATTTAAACTTTAGAGTCAGGGCCTCTCTCTGTTGTCCAGAGTATAGAGCACAGTGGTGCAATCATAGCTCATTGCATCCTTGACCTTCAGGGCTCAAGTGGTCTTCCCATCTCAGCCTTCTGAGTAGCTGTGACTACAGGTGCACCTTAACAAACCCAGCTGATTTTTTGCATTCTTTGTAGAAATAGGGTCTTGCTGTGTTGCCCAGGCTGTTCTCAAACTCCTAGCCTCAAGTGATTCTCCTGCTGGGGCCTCCCAAAGTGCTGGAATTACAGACGTGAGCCGCTGCTCCCAGCACATTTCCTCTCTGTCAGGAATGCTGTCCATCAACTCTCCGTGTAAGCATGTTTGCAATTCCAAACAGACCTCCTGGTAAACATGCTGCCATTGTCAGGAAGGTCATGGACAACCTGTATCATTTACTGGCAGAAAGAAAATAGAGTCTCCTTCTCAATAAAAAAATTTTTTTAGCAGAATATACCAAGCCACTCTAAATTGATTATCATACACTAACCCTGGAGCTATGGGTTTCGGGGACACGCCTGGCTGGAGAATGGGAGCTAGTCATTTAAGCTGCATGATTGACATAGCCTAACATGGGGACATTTCACACTGAAATGGCTCACTTTGTGTAAGTAATGTTTCAGCATATGGTGCTAAAGAAAACAGACACAAATCTCATCGGTTACATTAAAATATTCCTAATAAAGGAAGAAAAAAAACATTTGGGGAGAGCTGCATCTCACGGTCTCAATCATGTCCTTAAAAGATGGTGTCTGAGCTCTTTATCAGTAAATCCTGCTGTTGGATAAAATCTATTATTCACGTTAGTGTAACTGATTGGTTATAAGGAGGGTGAAGGATTTATCCAACCCTGTTAGTGTTATATGATAACTATATATTGCTATGTTGCCAAATATAGTCATCATCAACTTTTAATTACTATAAGTTGTACATAGGCAAGTTAAGACTTGCTCAAAGCAATGGTGATCAAAATTTTATTTTTCATAGTGAATCAGTGAGAGTGACAACCATATATAGTATTTTCCAATATTCCTTGACAATTTGGCATTCAATATTTATGTACCTGAAAGTATTTACTTGAAGTTTAAGGCAATATTTGAGACATATTAGAAAACGTGCTAGAGTTAGTATATTAGCTCCCTGTAAGGATTTCCACCGTAGGATGCAAAAGAGCTACAAGGAAATGGCCACTGTGTGTCAGAGCGAGAAAAATGGGAATATTTTCGTGCTCATGAGAGATGGGGAAAGTGGCTGAGGAAGATGGTTTTTATTCTTAATTGATGAGATCCCTAACTTGAAGGTAGAATATATATTTAACTTTTGTTTTCAAAGTCATGCAACCAGAGAACAGTGAAGTTATGGCAGTACTTAAGATGGTTAAAACATTTTATCAAGCTTCATTACCTTCCACTTTTAGGTATTTCTCCAACATTCACTGAAGTGGTAATGCTCATTTTATTAAAAGTCAAATGAACGTTCCAAAGTGATATTTAGTATGTTAATAATTCATAGAACTTCAAAGCTCATATGGAGAACTAATTTCACAAGTAAGTTTAGACTACGGGGCTAACATACATTTTCTTCTGTTTCTGTCTCTAGAATTTAATATTATTTCCCCACTATATCCAGTCCCAAAGTGGAACCTTTTATGGGTAGCTTATCAGGGACAAGTTACCCCAATTTGAGAATTGCCATGTGAGTTTAACAAATAATAGAAGCATGCATGATTTCAAATAGAAATTAACATAACAGTTGCTATGTTAATTTCTATTTGAAATTATGCATCATTCCATTATTATCTAGTAAGATACTAGTAAGTATCTATTATCTAGTACACACTGGTTTTGACAGTTAAAAACACATGTAGAAATCCCCTTTGAATGAATTTTATTCAACTGAATATAACATGAACAAGGTACGATATAAAAAAAGCACTCATATATGTTTAAGTAACAAATATATTTTATATTTCCAGAAAGAAAACATAGTAAATTCATAATGGACTACCTCATAGCCTCTGGAGCTATTCTGTATTCCAAAGTGTGGCGTGCCAGGGTCTGGGCAGGTGTTATGAGCAGGATCTGAAATTTGTGATTTAAAAAGAAAACAGGGCACCAGATAGAGTTATTGTGGGAACTCTAACAGCTTTTACTGAAAGGCCTCATGAAATAGAGAAAATTTTGTTTTGAGAAATGTGCAAGATGTTTTTCAGGAAAGTTAAAAATTAAATTGCTACTTTTATCTTCTCTTCAAGACATCTTCTTTAGATGTTAACTTTTAGACTTTAAGTAGTTCAGTATGTTCTTTTTATATAAGGATAAGTACATTTTTTCCATTCTCTGGCTTTTTTTTCTATGGAAATATATTTTTGTGGTCAATGACATACTATCTTCAATAGTGATCGATCACTATCTTTTTGTTTATTAGGATTCAATTAATGGTCATCTCATTTGGTTACCCATTACATTATTCTGAAAATCTTTAATTAATTTTCCTCAACATTTCAAAATGATAAATATATTTAATGCTTCAAAATCGAAGCATATGGAAAACCAAGAGTGACATTTTTCAAAAAAGGTAGGACTTGGGTAACCCAGTGGCACTTCAGCTCTCTTACTTGCTGCTCTACAGTTGCCAGTAGAAAAACAAAATAGATAACTTCTTAAAACTTGTTATCTAGAGCAACTAACCTACTAGGGGGAAGAAAAATATTTTTAGTGTAGCGATAGCTACTATATGGCAATAGTTTAAATCAAATGACAGCAAATATTCCTGTAATTAGAAAAAAATGCTTCAGTGACAATATTTCTTTAATACTATCCTTATTTTACACCATTCAATTTCTTAGAAAATAATCAAGACTAATTATTACTTTTTTACTAAAAACTTGTCGAACACCCATTATTCTGCTTAGTCAATCTCAATGAACAAAATTAACACAGTGATAAAACTTGACTCTGCAGCAATAAAACAAGAGCAAGACTGTCTCTCTGGTGAGGGCTGCTTTAGAGAATGTTCCTAACTGCACCTTTCCCCTAAACAATGCAATTGGCAGTGAAGGTAGACAGCAGAGACAGCCACTGAGGTCAGAGAACAAAGTCGAGTAGCTACTTTAGCAGACTTCTGACTTAAACTCCAGACATAGCTTGAATGACTTAAAAGAGGAGGCACATCAGTTTAGCTGATTAGTATGCAACCCTATTCAGTGCCAAGAATATTACATTTACAGAAAATTATCTACGGGAACACTATCTATGTAATCACCAGTGACCCAATTTTGGAATGAAATGTCCTCATCCCCCAAATACCCCCAAATATCACCAGGCCAGTATTATAATTATTACCAATGCACGCAGGTTGTATGCCGCTCCACATGCCGTCAGCTTGGCAGATTCTTCTTGAAGATCCCACGAGTATAAATGGAGATTTGCACTGGAAGAAGACTTCGGACTTATAGGTGAAACTTTTCCCACTAAGTCGCCCTTCGGCGGGGATGCCAGGGTCTCCGCAGAACACAGCTATGGAAGATAATCAGGAAGAAGTCAGCCTTCAATGTCCCTGGATCAGCTTAACCAATTGAGCTTGGTAACTAGTTTCTGTTAAATCTTTAGCTTTAACTATTAAACAAGAAAAAGACTAAAAGGAGGCCAGGCACGGTGGCTCACACCTGTTATCCCAACACTTTGGGAGGTGGAGGCAGGCTTGAGCTCAGGAGTTCGCGACCAGCCTGGGCAATATGGCAAAACCTCATGTCTACAAAAAGTACAAAAATTAGCTGGGTGTGGCGGCATACACCTGTAGTCCCAGCTACTTGGGAGGCTGAGGTGAAAGGATGGCTTGAGCCCGAGAGATCGAGGCTGCAGTGAGCTATGACTGAACCACTGCGCTCCATCCTGGGCAATAGAGTGAGGCCCTGTCTCAAAAAAGAGACTCTGCCCTTAGGCAGCACAGTCTCAAGTTTGAGTTTTTGTGTATTTTAGGGCTATTACTACCCACCAGGAAGGTCCTCAGATTGTAACCTTAGGATGTGCCCTGATTATCCGTCCCTGTTACAGACCTATAGTGGGTGGAACAAATTCTGCTGTAGAACTTACGCAGGCACTGGGGGACCTCTCCTTTCCACACCCCGCGACCTTCACAGGAGAGGATGGCAGAGTGAGAGAGCTGGTAACCGTCCACGCAGCTGTAACTTATGCTGGAGCCCCAGCGGAAATCAGTCCCCTCCACTGTTCCATTCTGCACGGGTGGCGGCTGAGGACACAGCACGGCTGTTTTCCAAAGAACAAACAAGATCAACATTCCGGAGCTCCCGCTGCAGCTGTGATGTTCAAACGATTCACATTTTAATTTTACCTGAATTACAAATGACATCTACGTAGGTTTCTTTAAAAACAAATAATAAAAGAATTGCCAAGGAAGACAGGACATCCAAATAATAAACCTTTTTTTTTAAGAATATTTCTTCATTAATATAGATCAAGTATATAAAAGCAAAGTCAAGTCAAAACATATAACACTGTAAAAGAAAACAGGATTGAACATGATATTCTCAATATATACAAGGCCAAGAAAGGAAGAAATGTTCTTGTTTAATTAGTGTCTTTTTATGATGGTTCCCAAGGACAACTCGAATGAGGATTTGGTCAGATGACACAAAATTTGTAGGCACAGATGGTAAGAATTTTTCCGGCCATCTGTATTTTTTATTTAAAGATGGCATATAGTTTCCAAAAGACACAGTCGGTCCATCTATTTACTGAATATATTTTTTTAGAAATGCCTGCACAGTTAAAGAAGATTCTGTAAAATACCATTCAGAAGTGTTTCATCACGGCCTTGGAGCCTGATGTCTACTTTACGGGGCTGAGAAGCAAGAACAGGGTTTCTAGGGAGGATTTCCCCGAGGGCGATGTCCCCACAGATCCACCTTTCCCACTCCAGAAATTATACTAAAATGCACCCCAGGGGGCAAAAATCCAAAAACCACTGTCTAAAATCCTTCTTCTCTGAAGATACAAAAGCTTCCCTAATTTTGGAAATGAATGGAAGTTTCCAAGTAACCCCGTAGGCAGCAGAAGGCATTACAAGAGAATAACCACCTGCATTTTGTGTGTTCAGGCTCATGCCTTCTCATGTGAGAGAGACATGCCAACACATGCAATTCACACTTGCACACCCAAAAGTTGGAAATGGGTCCTCCTCTCACCACTCCACCTTCTACTGATCTGTTCACTCGTTCAACAAATCCTTCCTGAGACCCCACAGCGAGAGCTGGGGAAAGGCGTGCTCTGGCCCAAGGGAATGTCCAGGGGGAGGCCCCAGTTGGGGGAGACCTGAGCTACATGGGGGAATGGGAGGAGACAAGTTCCAGGAGGGACACAGAGAGAAAGAGGTTCCATCTGGTAGGGCCTTGCTGGCCATGGCATTGTTACAAACACAACGGGTACCAGAAAGAGGATAAACATCTACAAAACCATGCATGAAGTGTTATTTTATTGGCAATTTCCATCATGACCATTTGACCTGAACACTGCCAATACCACTTAGTGCATTTCATTAAACATTTAGGGTCTGCCGTATAACAGGTGTAGTATTAAGAGTTACAGTACAAAGAAGGGAAGGCAATGAGATCCTTTGACTCTACTGGGAGAGGAAAGCAGGATGGTCCAAGAACACGCCCATGTCAGAAGAGGGAGAAAGCAATACTTTTGAGCAACCAGGTCACATTTAAGACTCTGTCACATTTAACCATCTGTCTTGCAGAGCCTGCAGAAGATGATACCTTCTCCGTTAAGCTACTGAGTGTCCTAGCTCTCCCTCTCTATTTTATTTGTTCCTAGTCTAATAAAGAGGAGAATGCCACCCTCTTATGTATGACCACTGACAACTTTCAAGCCCCTCTCTACCCCTCTTCTTCTTGTCCTTCCTCTTCACCAGCCGATAAGAAAGTCTGGATAGTTCTTCTTTGCTTCTGGTAAATAAACCATCACCATGCAAATCCCTGACCCTTGCACAGCCCTCACTCAGCCCTACTCCCTGGTCACTGTAAGAGCCCAGCCCACTCGCTCACTCTGCTTTGCTGAAGCCACCTTGATGGGCTTGAGCCTGTCTTGATTCGCCCAGATGGTCCAGTCACGTAAGTCGTAAACCTCTTCCTGCCTTCGCGGTGTCATCTTCAGTCTCAGCAACCAAACCCCATGAAACATCACGGTGCTAACACTCTCTACCAGTACTTTGCCATTACCAGGTGATTGGTTTGTCTCTCCAACCTGCCTCTAAATTCCTACAATTAGATTCGCCATGCCATGAACACCTCACTCAGTCAGGGTCACAGGACAGCAAAGCACTGGGGTTCACACACAGACTCTAGGGCGGCAGGACCATCACTGAACCCTGACATCTCCAGTTCCTGGTTTGTGATCCTAAGCCTTTTCCTCTACCTCTCTGTGAGTTAGTTTTTCCATCTGTAAAACTGAGATTAAAGTATTATAAAAATAAAGTGACTTAATAGTTGCAAATTGGTGTTTAAGAATTCCTAGCCCCTAGAAGGGCTACATAAATGCTTGCAAAATTAAACAAAGCACAATTCAATAAAGACTTCTACACATATCTGTAAAATCCAAAGAGTCACAAAACAAACCTTTGCAGACGGGTTTGCTCTGATTCCATGTGCCGTCTTTGGTACAGCGAATAGTGGCGGATGTGACCGGTTCCATGAGATAGCCAGGGTTACACTGATAGCTCACAGTCTGGTTGAAGGTGAAGTCGGTCCCGAACTGGATGCCATTTGCTAGTGTGCCTGGATCCCCACAACTTATAACTAATAAACAGATAGCAGGAAAGAATCAGAGAAATTCATTTATCATGAAATGAATTAGTCACCCTTTCTATTCAAGATACTTTCTTTGAACTGCTACTCAAAGTGGTTAAACAGTGAATTAATAAAGCAATACTACCCTCTGTTTGATGATTTCACTGACCCGCTGTCAGAAGGAACACTTGTATTTTGAGAATCACTGATTTCTATTCTGTTGGCAGCTGGCTGTCAGATGCTGCCTTCCACCCCTGGACTAGCCCCTAATTAGGCATATGGTGTATGATCAGAAAGATGAAGCCGGCAGTCAGAGGACCAAAGACATTCCTTCTTTCTCTGCAGACGACAAGGTCTTGACTTTTTTTGGTCTCAATTTTACAATGTTCCACCCAACTGGCCTTTTAAAGGAGCTTCAGCCATACAAATAAGAAAGTGGAAAAAATCTTAAAGTACCTAAGAAATAGAGTCACAATGTCACACATCGTTTTCCTTTTTTTCCTCTATGAATTAAAAATAAAAAACAGTATAACACCTTAAAGTCAGTTTTGTTTTTCCCCCGCAATGGAGTGAATTTCATAGTAATGAGTCTACCACAATGTCTGGTTACTCACTTGTGCAGTCGGGAGCAGTGCCTGTCCAGGTCCCATTGGCTGTGCAATGCCGCGTCATGAGCCCTGAAGTCTTGTAGCCTTCCCAGCAGGCATAGATGACCGAGCTGGAGAACAGAATGCCATCACTACTGACGATCATTCCGTTGGTGGGCGTGCCAGGGTTGCCACAGGACACAGCTGTTAGGCAAACAAGAACAACACACACAGCGAGTGACCCAGGATGAAAATGGCAAACAGGAGACCAATGGGTATCCATGCAATAGACTACACATTTATTACAAACCCACAGCACATAATCCTATGGAAGTTCCTTAACATATGTCTTACTATGACTCACATGTTTATTTTATTGATTAGCTACAAATATAAAAATAACCTTTCAGTTCATCTTTTCTAAAGTGAATTACTTCTAAACAAATTAAAACACGAGTTAAAGCACCAAAAGTTCAAGGCCTTGTTATTCAGGGATTGAATGCTTTTAATAGCCTTGCTATTTGAGGACTGAATGTTTTTAATGTCATGACAGAATTGGTCTGATTTTTAAAAAAGAATATCTGCGATATTAGCAACACAGAAGCATCTTCCTTTATGTAATCACTGTGTTTTTAAAATCTAGGCAATTCAGGTCCTATTTTACATCTCCAGGAGAATTCACTTTGGAAAATAAAGAATGCCTCGGAAATATGAACGGCTGCACTTGAACTGCTTTGTAAAATGATGTCCTCAATATTACCAGATCTAATAGCAGCTGCGTTAATTGGCTTTGACATGATTCAACTTTACATTTCTCTCAAAAGGCTCCTAATGCCACGTACAGGCAATAAGACCTCAATTAACGATGGTCAGAGCAACAGGTCTACACTCTGACTATTTTTTATGCTCTTTTGGTCAGTAAACAAAAGCAAGCTCGATTGCTGCTGGGTATCCTTCAGGGTGAACATTTCAATCTATAATTTTTTTTGCCTTTTTTAGTGGAGCCTATTTATCAGAAAGGTTGCTACATTTTCTCCTTAGCACTGTTGCAATAATATACAATAGGCAGGTAAATAAAGGATGTGACCCTTGGCTGGTTTTAATAACAAGAATATATATCATGAGACTGCCTCTGAGCTGATCGAAATATTTAAAAACACTTTGGCACATTTAATTGATCCAATTTCAAATCTGGCCTGGAGAACAAAGATGTATTTTTCTTAAAAAACATGGAAGAAAACATCCTGCAAAATTTGCTCGGCACAGAGAAGTCACTGTACTGGGAGTCGAGGGACTACCCTTCTTATTACATAGAAAGAATGCACTTGCGCTCAGGTTGAACTGGATTTTGTTTGAAAAAATAATACAAAGTGCACATGCTGGTGCTTCCTGGTCCTGTGCCAATGGCACATGGAAGTATTCAATCATGGCCCTCTTCTCTGATGGCTCATGGTGTGACTTCCAACCCTTTCTAACACAGATCTATTAGTAGTTTCCTGGTTGGCATGTGAATTGGGATATATTTACCAATCCAGAAGCAGATAATATTTAAGGCTCTCTAAAACTTGAAAGTTTTATGATAACTACATATTATATGTTAAAATTTCATATTGCAATAATTAAGGGTTGGACTATCCAACATATATATATAGTTCATTCAACAAACATATATTCATCACTTACTGTGCAACAGGTACTGTGTAGATGTGCTTACGGAAAGCCTGTCACAGAAAGGGATTGCGTTTGGTCCAATTCATAGTTTAACAAACCAAAAGAGGACACTGATGTTATTGTTACATTGTATTCTAATTATATTTGCTATTCAGTTGTATGTCCAAATCTTCAAAAGCCACCTATGTAGAACCAATACCCAAATGAATCAAATAACTGATGAAAAATATTCAATTCGGTTTGTAAGCAATCTAAAGTGTTAGTTAGTTTGCTAATATTGTCAATGAATGAGTACCGTCATAATGCTGTCCTAATATTGGGAAAGTCCCCTCAAATACTGTACTATATAAAGTAAAATTCATGATGAGTTTTTTTCTTTCTGTTTTTCTGGCTGACAAAAACCACTTTCACTCATGGTTATAACTACGAAAATGTCTAGAAGGCAATGTCAACATATCTGCTTTTATATCAATGCAGTTATGTAAAATTATAAGAGAGGATTAAGACTAAAACAAAACAATAGATTAAATTTCAAGGAGACAAAAGGAAAATAAATTAGAAGAGGAAAAAATAAACTGGAAGAAGAAAAATAAATTAACCTGTAAGTTTAAACTTTGCCATATTTTCTCTTTCCTGAGTTTATTTTCTTTTGAAATACACTTTATAAAAAGTACATTTTGTAATGTGACTTCTTCAGCTAAAACATAATTTTCTTTAACTCAGTATATAATAACATTAAGCTTATTTTAAGTATACTTTTTTTTTTTAACAAATAGTACTGTTCATTTTACATGAGAAAAAATTGCTGTTAAATTGAGTTAAATAGATGTGAATATTTGCTCATGCAAGTTAAATAAACCTGAGCAATCAATTTAAATTCCTTAGATGTAGTGCCTTTAACCATAAAATGAGTATTACAAAAATACTTATTCCTGGCTGTTACAAAATTACCCACGATATATGTAAAATGCCTAGTGTGAGATCTGATGTATTAGTGGTCACAACGAGTTAGCTTGTAGCTTATGCTATTGTTATTTTCATCATCATCACTTTCTTCTTGAGTAAAATGTAGCTTTATCATAATTTCATCTGAAAGAGAATTAAGAGTTCCCTAATACAGCTTAAACTAAATATTTTAGTTATACAATGTAACTTCATGAGATAGATCAATTCGAAATGTTAAGTTTGAACCTATGATTAAAAGACTAGATGGCTAACAAAAGCCAATTTGATTTAATGCAAAGGAAATATATCTGCAGTATAAATTCTTTGAGTTGAATAATTTTAAAAGATGTTTCATTTTGAATTACAATTTCCTCCTCCTTTTTACAATGTATTCTATTTATCTAACTTTTTGTATCTAACTTTTTGACAGGTTTAGAGGACATAATTTCATCAGGTTTGAAATAATCTTAACTAGGGGATTAGCCAAGTCATAGCTAGTCATAGAAGCTATGCTTCCTGGACATGCAACCACTGGTTACATCCTTTTTCATTGAGAGTAACTCACACTTCAGTGATTTGGACCTATGATAACAAACAAGGAACAAAATGAAAAGCTACAGATTCTCCAAAATGTATTTCAAATTTTTGCTGGTGTGTGTGTGTGCTCAGTCACTGATTTTATGATTTTTATACATAATTTGTTGCCTTATTGGTTGTAACATATATTGCAGTGGGCTTATTCAGCTTCCCATGATGTCTGTATCATATAATGCAGTTTTAGAAGCAGTGAGTTTTGTGGAGCATGGCATATTTGAGAAATATTTTCAGCATTGCAACATTTTATAACTTATTTGCGTATGCAGCTTTTAAGGGCTAAGTTTCCAAGTTTTTTCATAGAAGTATAAATTTCTAACTTTAGAAAGCAAAATACAATTTTAAAAATACTTCGCACTGCCTGAGTTAGATGGATTGGGAAGTGAAACACAATTAAGCTCTCATTCAAATAAATTGATTGATGTGTGCTTTGCTGGACTAGAACTCATACTGTGCCTTCATAGCCCCAAAGATGGGAGATTTCTAAGGAAAGACATTGCTCACCCTCAACTGTCATAATTTTGTTCGTCTTTTAAGATTTCAAAACTGAAATACTGGAAGTAAACATGATATTGAATGTACAGTCTCAGGTGAATGGTCGTCTTTGATAGAATATTTTATATTCCACTTTCTGGGAGTGTCAGAGTCTCTGCTCTTCACACACCAAGTTCAGCCTGCAAACCAGGGTTTCGGCTCAATGATTGCATTGAGAACTCTTGACAACAGAAGGATAGTTCTGGTTTTCATCAGCATCAGATTCTATCTATAAAGTCTGAATAATTATTCCAGCATTCACTTATTGACATCCAGCCCTCTTTGTAACTACTGAGGAAATATTTTAAATTTCAATTAAAATACTACCGGTGATTGATCTTTCAGCCTCTCTTTTCTCAAACAAAAGAGAATTAAGACCCAGAACCAAGACGTTGTGATCACTACAAAGAATCAGGTCTAAAGACAAAATGTCACAACTCACAAACCGTGGTGCTTTTCAAAAGTCCTGAATGATAAACGCTACAGATACGTGAAGCTACTGTCAAATGTGATTTAATAGAAACGTTGAAATTTTACTATGGAAATTGTTTTAATTTATTGGCAACATTTTTGTAACACCACACTTTGTTATAATTACAGGATTAAACAAACTTCACAAAAATATCATAAGCCACTCTTACACACCTTTTAGTCAGATTCACCAACTGTTTACATGTTGCTCACTTTCTCTCTCTCTTTCTCTCTAAATATGTATTTTCTAAAGTATTTGAGTGTAAGTTACAGACATGATGACTCTTTAGAGTTAAATGTATCAGTATGTATTTCCTAAGAACAAAGGCATTCTCTTTACATAACCATAATACAATTATTAAAAGCGTGAAATGTAACTTTGATGCAATGTTGTCTCATACACGTCCATAATCTAATTTACTTCAAGCTCTTGAACATATTTTTAATAGTTGCCTTAAGGTCCTGTGTTAGTTCACCACCTAGATCATCTCAGGGTCAGATTCTACTGTTTCAGTAACGCCTCTCATAGGACCCAATCCAAGACCACACATTGCATGTATCAAGTCTCTTACTTCTGAAAGAAGCGCTCAGAATGTGTCTTTTCTGAACTTGACATTTCTTCAGGAGCACAGGCAGGCTGATTTGTTGCATGCCCTTAGGGTTTTGGGGGTTTTTACTGCTGCTGCTTCAGGATTCGATTCAGGTTATGCATTTCAGCGGCAATACCAAAGACATGACAGTGCCTCTTTTCAGCGCCTCGTATCAGGAAGCACAGAAGCTCTCCGTGTTAAAATATTGCTGATAATGGTTTGTCCCATAGGATTGCACACCTAAAGTACTATATGACAGAGTAGAAAACACTCTGGTTTTTTCTCTGGTGAGAAAACTGCCCTCATGTGCAAATTTTAATACTGAAATCTCTACAAGATGAGAGGGAACTGAAAAAATCTGCATTTGATTAAAAAATGTACATCAATTTATAGTGTCATACTTTAGTCAATAACAAAAGTATGATCCTGCAATTCACGACTACGGGTAACCATTTCTCACTACTAATCAGTGGTATTTGACCTAAGACAACTTTTGTAGGGCCTAGTCTTAAGATTTACACTACTTTGATTGTGAAGAGGCAATTCAGAGTAAAAAATTTTCTTGGATTATCACGTTTGCACATATGTGTATGCCTATATTATGTGCATATATACACATATATAGTCGAAAATAGTCTTTGAGAATAAATATATACACTATGCATGGGCAAATATATAAGTGTAAATATATGCACAATTATTCATATATTCATATGTAGCATTATTTTATATATGAAATTAATGCTACATAGGTTTATAATACAGATAGATCATATACATATTTTATTTCTATTTATCTATATAGCATGTATAATACAATAAAGGCAGAAGTGGAGACAGGATAGTCAAGTACAAAAAATGAAGATTAAAGAAACTTGAGTTAAATTTCTCATAATGATAGTGTGTATGTGAGCTTACTCAAGTTGGCCAAGTTATATGGAAAGTGTTTCATACATACAAAAATACATATGGAATTAATTTGTATAAACGTTTTAGACTCAAAATGTAATTGAGAAGTTTGCTTGTAAAGAATTCCTAACATTTACAGTCCTATCTGTCTGAATTCTAAATCGGGTTTTGAACACCGAATACATGGTTACCATCACCTCTCAGTTCACATTTGCTTGAGGCTACATTTCTGATACACAGTGCGGTGTCTATAAGGTGTCTGTGGCAATTCTTACTGTCATTACTGGAGCATACCACCACTTCCTACGATGCCTCTCAAACATTAGAATCAAGTAGACCCACTCCAAAATAGTTCATAGAATATAACCCCAGATTCCTGTGAAATACAGTGCTCCACACATGGACCACCAATAGATTGGAAATGACGTGTGAATGAAGCCTGCTTCCAGCCTGTGGAAATTCCCATCAATGGTCTGCACTGGTCCTACTCGCTGCTCTGGAACCCCACTCACTCACCGCCAGGATCTAGAAAACGCTGACAACACCACATACAGATTACCACTGGGAGAAGATTAGAAGCTTTTGTGTTACGAACTTTCAAACAACAAGCATCTGTGTGATGGGACCTGTGGACACTTGGAATACTTTCACGCACCCAGTCATGATTTCTGATGATGCTTTCACAAATATTGGGGGGGAAAGATTTAACTGTATAAATAGTACAAATCCCTATAAGTTTTGTAGAATTTTGCCAGCCATTTTAGAATGAATTGTGTGGTTTTAACTTTCAAGGTAGACCTTAAGGCTTGTGGCTACTCACCCTCGCACACCGGCTGCAGTCCTGACCATGACCCATTGAGCAAACACGTGCGTTCAGGGGAGCCCCTCAGCTGGTGCCCCATTTCACAGGAGAAGCGGAGAAGACTCTTTGTCTTAAATTCATCCCCAAGCCGAGACCCATGTGCTGGGGTTCCCGGATCACCACAGAATCCAGGATTATTTCCTATTGAAAATAAACACATATGACAATGCATAATTGTGTTAGACTTGTTTTAAGCAGAGTTGTTACATTTACAGATAATGAAAAGTTGTTGAAATTTGTGTTTGACATGAGTTATGGTTACACAACATTCTGGCAATCTTGTAAGAAATGATTTCTTTGTGACAGTCCTAAAAATGAAAGAATTTAGGATGTTGCTCCTGTGTTACTAAATTCACAATAGCCTATTCAAATGAATAAATGACATTTCCTCTGGAAGGAGGAAAATGCTGGGAATGGTAAATGTATCAAGTCTTCACTGAAAAGGTAGGTACAGAGAGCAAAAGGAAAACGGGGCTTTAGGTAAACTGGGAACGTAAAAAAAAAAAAAAAGGCAAATGAGAGGTTTAATTCTTCAGAATTGTATCCAGAGAGTTGCTGGTTTGCTGAATTTTAATTGTTTAAGAAACATTCATGAAAAAAATAAAGATAATTTTTTTTCAAAGTGGACCCATGTGGTTAATGATGATAGAGGTGGGGAAAATTAAACACATAAAAAAGAATAAAGAGCAAACAGGGACACACGGAGGCAGGGCCGGCAGCTTCCTTGCAAATAAGATCCAGACACTCCCGAGGATCCTGGAGGAGAGCATTTAAAGTGATGGTGTCTAACGATTATGGCGAAGAGGAAGACAATATCTATAAGAGAGTTGTATTTGGCTAGAAATGGAATGATAATCATTTCAAAGAGATGCATAATTATAGGGCATTTGAAATAACTGTAAATCATCGTTATCTGAAATCATTATTGGAAAGGTTATTTGACGCCTGTAATTCTGTCAGTTCACCTGTAGGCCCCTTACCTGTGCAGTGGGGCAGTGCCCCGCTCCAGTGACTGTCTTCCTGGCACACTCTCGTGTCATTGCCTATGAGACTCTGGCTCCCTCTGCATGAGTAGCGCACGGTGGCGCCGTATGTAAACAGCTCTCCAGTCAGGATGGCATTGGCAGGGACCCCTGGGTGTCCGCATGATATAGCTTAAGAAAAAAGAGAAAATAAAACAAATGAGTACATCCTTCCAGTTAAACCACTTTGTACTGGCAGATCTCCCATAGAAACACCCGTATCGACAACATCTATTAAAGAAAAACACCTAAATATTCTGGTATAGCCCTACAGTTCCCTTATGTAATTTGTGATGAGTACCAATTTTCAGATGATGCTTCCTCCCCTAATTTATTTACCGAAAAGGAGAGGTTCTGTTGATGATGTTTTTGTTTTGTTTTGTTAAGGTAGCTTTGCTTATGGTGGAAATTGACATGTGGATTTTCAAGGAGATAGCCATACTGCCTACATTTTTCCATCGACCCTTAACTATATTCCAAATGAACAGTATTATGGGAAATTTGAGAAAGTAACACGGATCCATTAAAACTATTTCCACAATTTTTTCAGTTAATATGACAATCATATGCTTTGCTTGGGGACATAATTTTGTCAAATCTGCTTAATCTTCAAGTTCACAAGTCTAAGAAAACCATTCTAACCATTTCTCTTTGAATAAGGGGCAGTCTAAGATGGATAAGTAAAATAATACTACTAAATTATTGATTAATGTATTCCTCAAATTGTTCCGTAAAATCCTCTCAGTATTTCTATTCATTTCCTTACAATTATACCAAATCAGGCCCAAACTCTATTTATAAATATCCTTCAAAAAGGCAAATTCTGTAATCCAGATTAATATAGGACAGTGAAGATTTATTTTTCCTTTACTGTACAGTATCAAATGAGGGCTAGCAATAGACAAGTTTTTATCTATATGCAAAAAGAACTAACTGAATTGAGACTACCAAGGAATCACTCAAAGGTGACCACTTCAGTATCCTAGAGGAATTCCATTTGGTAACGAGACACCCAGAAGGGTTATCAACCAGAGGGGGAGATTTGAATGCCTGGAAGCCACCGCCATCCCCCGAGTCACATCAGCCCTCACTTTCTGTCTTGCATGGACATTGATTCACTGGAGAACTAGATTTTATCCACATAGAGTCCTTAAAAGAAGCCAGTTAGACCTGAAACAGTGAAATGCTGGATCAATGACCATTTCCAGTTGAAATGAAATTTATATTTTATTTAAATGTTAACCTTCAGTGAAACAATATCACAGCAAAATCAGACACAGAGCTCAGCTGCTCTAGAGCACGGAAAAGCAAAGGCTCCCCCAAGATCTTTCGATTCCCAAAGTCACAGCAATTCCAATTGTGAATGACACCAAGCCGAGGGAACTGGCCAGCTAGGAGAAGGAGAGCCAGCTAAACCCCAGCTCCTGAAGATCTGAAGCACATCAGCATCGGTACAAAAACAAATAGAAGTCTCACACAAGCCAGGGGAGACATGAAAGAAATGTTCTGGGAAAGACAAAAACAGAACTAAACCAACTTCTATGAAAATTCCCATGTGTGAAAGCAAAAGGAAGATGAGAATGCAGACATAATTTGATGAAGATCGTAACACATTTATAGATGCAATTTTGTTACATAAGGCTGAGAATTGTTTTGAAAGTTATCACTGTCTTTCTCCACAGAAATTAATTGTATTGTTAAAGTCAGAATTTGAGACGAGTTTCTGTGTAGATTAGAGGAATGTGAGGGAAACTCACTTGGAGAAAAAAAAAATCTTCAACACTAACCCATTCTCAAAATACACTTCACAATGCTATAACTGAAAAGACAAGAGGCATTATTACCTTTAGTGTGTGTGGTAGACCCGACTGATAATGTAATTGCCGTTTCCTTCCTCGTTTGTATTTTTTTTTTTTGAAGAGATGGGGTCTTGCTTGTTAGCCAGGCCGGAGTGCAGTGATGCAATCATAACTCCTGGCCTTGAGTGATCTTCCTACCTTAGCCTCCCAATGTGCTGGGACTATGGGCATGTGCCAGCATGTCTCACTAGTTTTTAATTTTTTTACTTTTTGTAGAGATGGAGTCTGGCTAGGTTGTCCAAGTTGATCTAGAACTCCTGGCCTCAAGAGATCCACCTTCCTTCCACCTTCCTTGGCCTCTCAAAGTGCTGGGATTACAGGGGTGAGTCACTGCACCTGGCCTCCACTTTCTTTATGGATGCAAAATGCATAGGACAAAGATCGGATTTTGATTTTAAGTATTGCTTTCCTTCTAATTTCAAAAAGACTAAAGAGAGTGACACTTTTTCCTAAATCTTCAAACTATGATCTTAAAACACGATTCTCTTTAACAGCCAATCTGATTTTTCAAGTGAAAAGAAAAAGAAGACTTTGGCTATTTGGTTAAAATGATGTATTTTTGCTTATCTTCATGGTCTATAATACACTGATAACAAGCTTTTAAGAGGGGCCATAGGGATCATCTATAATTTTCTCTGCCCAGAAGAGCACATTCATTTTCTGGAGCCATATCCCTTCCCCTGATTTAAGGACTCAATTCACAAGCCAATTACTATCAGGATATGAGCTTTTTTTTAAAAAAAAAAAAAAAAAAAAGAAAAGAAAAACAAGATTTAACAACTTTATTCATTTATTTATTTTTTATTTTAAGTTCTGGGATGCGTGTGCAGGATGTGCAGGTTTGTTATGTAGGGAAACGTGTGCGATGGTGGTTGGCTGTACCTATCAATCCATCACCTAAGTATTAAGCCCCACATGCATTAGCTATTTATCCTGATGCTCTCCCTCCACCGCCCCCTACAGGCCCCAGTGAGTGTTGTTCCCCTTCGGTGTCAATGTGTTCTCATTGTTCAGCTCCTACTTGTAAGTGAGAATTTGTGGTGTTTGGTTTTCTGTTCCTGCATTAGTTTGCAGAGGTTAAGCTTCCCAGCTCCATCCATGTCCCTGCAAAGGACATAATCTCATTTTTTTTTATGGCTGCATCATATTCCATGGTGTGCATGTACCACATTTTCTTTATTCAGTATTTTACTGATGGGCACTTGGGTTGATTCCATGTCTTGTTATCGTGAATAGTGCTGCAGTGAACATACGCATGCATGTATCATGGGATCTAATGAAACTCAGGAGCTTCTGCACAGAAAATAAAAACTATAATCAGAGTGAACAGAGAACCTACAGAATTATCATCAGAGTGAACAGACAACCAACAGAATGGGTGACAACTGTGCAATCCATCCATCTGACAAAGGTCTAATGTCCACAATCTACAAGGAACTTAAACAAATTTACAAGAAAAAAACAACCCCACTAGAAAGTGGGTAAAGGACATGAACAGACACTTCTCAAAAGAAGACATTTATGTGGCCAATAAACAACATGAAAAAAAGCTGAACATCACTGATCATTAGAGAAATGCAAATCAAAACTACAATGAGATACCATCTCATGCCAGTTAGAAGGGCTATCATTAAGTCAAGAAACAACAGATGCTGGTGAGGCTGTGGAGAAATAGGAATGCTTTTACACTGCTGGTGGGAATGTAAATTAGTTGAACCATTTAGGAAGACAGTGTAGCGATTCCTCAAAGACCTAGAATAAGAAATACCATTCGACCCAGCAATCCCACTACTTGGTATATACCCCAAGGATATGAGGTTTTTACTGTAGTCACCTTGGACTGTACCAGGAATGCTCACAAAACCCAATCAGGTCTCACAGCACTCCCCTCTTTGGCTATAGATGCCAGATCAACAGACAGAAACTCCACACCAGAGCCCTTCGCCCACCTGAGCTGAGCGAGAGTAAGGTTGGGAGATGCCTGGTGGGGAGGTCCTGGCCGCCGTGTCTGAGCTGTGTGGGCCAGGCCTACCTGGTAGGCTGAGGCTGAAGGCAAGCCGTGAGAGAAGGAGATAAAAGCATTATTGTCCAAGTGGTATCCAATTACCTGCGTCATTTCTCCTGAGCATACCAGCGTCCCCCGGCCCCTTGAATTTGCTTAAGTTGTATTTGGTGATTTCTGGCCAGTCTATCTACAGCTATCATACAAACTCCTACAATTGGTGATGGGAGAGAGCAGAGGGAATTAAAATTCAGTGATGGGAGACAGCAGAGGGAATTAAAATTCAGTGATGGGAGAGAGCAGAGGGAATTAAAATTCAGTG